GTCAGGCTGTGATTGGAAGGAGGTGTGTGCCAGAGGTAGGCTGTGATTGGGAGGAGGTGTGTGCCAGAGGCAGGCTGTGATTGGGAGGAGGTGTGTGCCAGAGGCAGGCTGTGATTGGGAGGAGGTGTGTGTCAGAGGCAGGCTGTGATTGGGAGGGGGTGTGTGCCAGAGGCAGGCTGTGATTGGGAGGGGGTGTGTGCCAGAGGCAGGCTGTGATTGGGAGGGGGTGTGTGCCAGAGGCAGGCTGTGATTCTGAGGGGTGTGTGCCCGAGGCAGGTTGTGAGGGGAGTGTGTGCCAGAGACTGGCTGCGATTGGGACAGGATATATTTAAGAAGCAAGCTGTGATTGGGAGGGGTGTGTACCAGCGGCAAGCTGTCATTGAGAGGACGGTGTTTAAGAGGAAGGCTGTGATTGGGAGGGTGTGTGTGCCAGAAGCGGGCAGTGATTGGGAGTGGGTGTGTTCAAGAGAAAGGCTGTGATTGGCATGGGTGTGTGCCAGAGGCAGGCTGTGATTGGTCTGAGGGTGTGGTGGTTAAAACAAACGACCCAATCCAGGCATACTGTATGTCTCCGTAATGTGCTTTGCCTCAGAATGGCCAGCCAAAAGATGAACACTGACCACTCTAACACAGATCAGCTTCTGTACTTTTTGTGGTCAGTTTAGAACAAGGAAGAAAGGTGATTGGCAGGATCAACCAGGTACTTCAGATGAAAGTAGTACATTAAAATGATACAAACTATGACTGATTAAATACATATATGGCAAATGATACATAGAAAAAGACAAATATTTAGGTTAACATATACTTTAAGTTTGTTGAGGTCTGTAACCCATTGAGGGGACTATTTGTCCTAGTGGCCATTGTCACTGAGAAAGAAAGTAAAGAGGAAATCCAACAATTGTAGAGTTGTCACCAGATCAAGAGGTAAGGGAAAGCCAACGACTGGAGACAATTACGATAAACTTTGCAGAGATTTTGCTCTCATTTCCTGTTGTATATCTAGAACAATATCCTGAGAGGGATTCTAATCTCACTAATCTAGGAGGTGCAATCAGTAAGAAGCAGGACAGCCACTTGGCTCAGGACCCAGAAGGTAGCGGAGATCACTGTAGTAGCGATGTAGTAGCAGCATCTACTATAGTCATTTCCAGGTTCCCACAAGGATCTAACAGGTAAGGTATATTCATGAGTCATGTTGGTCCAAGCCAGGGGCGGACTGACAACTCATGGGGCCCCCCGGGCTATAGGGGATCATGGGGCCCCTGTGTCCTTGCCCACACTCAAAGCACACCCAAAAAAGCCTATAAAAGGTACCAGGGGCATTTAATGGGGCCCCCTACTGACCCTGGGTCCTTGGTCCCTCCACCCCTGGTCCAAGTTAGACCAAAGTAACTATGTAAACCTGCCATAGCTGAAACTCTACTTTAACCCCTCACCTACAGGGCACTTATACCCCCTTTTTTACCAGGCCAATTTTCAGCTTTCAGCGCTGTTGCACTTTGATTGACAATTGCGTGGTCATGCAAGATTGTACCCATATGAAATTTTTAGCATTTGTTTCTCACAAATAGAAATTTCTTTTGGTGGTATTTAATCACCACTGGGCACTTTACTTTTTGCGCTATAAACAAATAAATTGCAAAAAATTGGATAAAAAAAAAGTTTCTTTGTTTCTATTACAAAATTTTTCAAACAGGTAATTTTTCTCCTTCACTGATGTGCGTTGATGAGGCAGCACTGATGGGCACTGATAGGCAGCACTGATGGGCACTGATAGGCAGCACTGATGGGCACTGATAGGCGGCACTGATGGGCACTGATAGGCGGCACTGAAGGGCACTGATAGGCAGCACTAATGAGGTGGCACGAATAGGTGGCACTGATGATGGGTACTGATAGACAGCACTGATAGGTGGCATTGACTGGCATCACTGCTGGGCACTGACTGGCGGCACTGCTAGGCATTGACTGGCACAACCTCTGGGCACTGACTGGTGGCACTGACTGGCAGCACTGATGGGCACTGATGGGCACTGGTGGGTGTCACTGGTGGACACAGGTGGGTGGCAATGGTGGGCACAGGTGGGTGAGCATAGGTGGGTGGCACTGCTGGGTGGCACTGGTAGGCACTGCTTGGCACAGGTGGGTGCACTGCTGGGCACTGGTGGGCGGCACTGGTGGGTGGCACTGCTGGGCACCGATCACCAGTGCCCTGATGATCAGTGCCTATCCCTGCTCTGGCAACTGCCAGTTCTCGGCAGTACTTTCCTCACGCTCTGACAGTGCAAGGAAAGTGCAGCCGAGAACTGGCAATTGCATTTCTCGCTGATCAGCGTGTCATTGGACACGGCTGATCACGTGGTAAAAAGCCGCTGTGATTGGCCTTTTACCACATCATGTGATCAGCTGTGTCCGTAGGACACAGCGATCACAGTGATCGCCGGGGGCGCGCAGGAGAGCGCGTTCTGGGAGGGCGTCATATGACGGCCTCCCAGTACTGGCCAGCCGCAATGTAGCCGTCATCCGGCTATCTGCGGTTGGCAAGTAGTTAAGTATAGAAACATTCTGACTCCCCACCTATGGGGCAAGTAGTCCAGTTAAATAGGAAGTAATGCCTTTTCTACTCTCGGAAGGACTTGTGCAACTATAAAATAGATGTCAGTCTGGAGGACTGTGTTTTCCTAGGCTGACTGCATTTACATAAAGACCCCCATAGGTAATACCGACATGTGATGCTGAGTCTCCAGGTGGGTCTCCATTCTGGGGAGGAAAGGCTAGATCACATGTGTCAAACACAAGGCCCGTGGGCTGAATGCGGTATCCCAAGCCATTTCATGTGGCCCTTGCATCTCTCCTGAAGCTGCATCAATCTCCCTCATCTACTCCACCACTTTGTCTCAGCAGTCGGCAGCAGAGAGGAGGACAGGACTCCTCCTCCAGATCCTGTGCTTCTCCATGCAGTTGCAGCACCCCCTCATCTACTCCTGCCTTGGTCTCAGCATTTAACAGATGGCGGCAGCTGAACACAGCCCTTCTCTGGTCCTCCTCCAGACCCTGTACTTTCTGCTTTCCAGCTCTTTCCCTCCAGCTTTCTCCAGGCAGTAGTATGTGATATGAGGGGGCTGGGGGACTCTTGTCTTCTTATGGTAACATCTGATGTAAGGGGGGTGGGATGCTATGGACATCTAGTCTTACAAATGGAACCAGCCCTTTGAGGGCAACCATAATGCTGATGGGACCCACGGTGAAATTGAGTTTGATACCCTTGGCCTATATCAGGGGTCTCCAAACTGCGGTCCATGGGTCGGATGTGGCCCTTTGCTTGCTTTTACTCGGCCCTTGGGGCACTTTTCCTTCCACTAATATGAAGCACTATTCCTCCCACTGACACCAATGATGGGGCACTATTCCTCCCACTGACACCAATGATGGGGCACTATTCCTCCCACTGACACCAATGGTGGGGTCACTGTTCCTCCTACTGACACCAATGAAAGGGTGCTATTCCTCCCACTGGCACTAATGATGGGGCACTTTTCCTCCCACTGGCACCAGCAATTGGGTGATATTCCTCCCACTGACACCAATGATAGGGCACTGTTTCTCCCACTGACACCAATCATGGTGCACTTTTCCTCCCACTGACCACCAAGCCTAGGGTATGGTTTACTCCCACTAATGCCAGGGCATTTTCTACTCCAAATGGCCACAATCCACCCCCTAAGGTTTGAAGGGCATTAAACTGTCCCTTTGTATCAAAAGTCTGGAGACCCCTGGCCTAGATGATACTGGACGTCCTCCAGCCAGAAAATGAGGCGGAGCTCTATCTGACTTGCTGCAGCTTTTAATGCACATTGTGAGAAGCTCACACGCTTTTTCTTGGCCCTTGGGGCACTTTTACTTCCGCAAATGTGAAGCACTATTCCTCCCACTGACACCAATGATGGGATGCCATTCCTTCCACTGACACCAAGCATGGGGCATTATTCCTCCCACTGGCACAAACAATTGGGTGCTATTCCTTCCACTGACCCCAATGATGGGGCACTGTTCCTCCCACTGACCCCAATGATGGGGCACTATTCCTCCCACTGACACCAATGATGGGATGCCATTCCTTCCACTGACACCAAGCATGGGGCACTAATCCTCCCACTGGCACAAACAATTGGGTGCTACTCCTTCCACTGACCCCAATGATGGGGTACTATTCCTTCCACTGACTACCAAGCCTAGGGTATCGTTTACTCCCACTGATGCCAGGGCAATTTCTACTCCCACTAACCACAATCCTCCCCCCGCTAAAGTTTGAAGGGGAATAAACTGGCCCTTTGTTTCAAAAGTCTGGAGGCCCCTGGCCTAGATGATACTGGATGTCCTCAAGCCAGGAAATGAGGCGGAGCTCTATCTGGCTTGCTGCAGCTTCTAATGCACATTGTGAGAAGCTCCCATGCTTTTCCTTGGCCCTTGGGGCACTTTTCCTTCCACTAATACGAAGAACTATTCCTCCCACTGACACCAAGGATGAGGCACTATTCCTCCCACTGATACCAACGAAGGGGCACTATTCTCCCCACTGGCACCAACAATTGGGTGCTATTCCTCCCATTGACACCAATGATGGGGCACTGTTCCTCCCACTGACCCCAATGAAGTGGGGCACTGTTCCTCCCACTGACACCAATCAGGGGGCAGTTTTCCTCCCACTGACCACCAAGCCTAGGGTATTGTTTACTCCCACTGATATCAGGGCATTTTCTACTCCAACTGGCCACAATCATCCCCCCCCTAAAGTTTAAAGGACAGTAAACTGGCCCTTTGTTTCAAAAGCCTGGAGATCCCTGGCCTAGATGATACTGGATGTCCTCCAGCCAGGTAATGAGGCGGGCTCTATCTGACTGGCTGCTACTTCTAATGCACATTGTGAGAAGCTCACAGTGTGCAGTGCCATCAGAGGAAGCTGTGTCAGTCCAGGAGAAGAGCCAGTACACCTGTGCAAGACTGAAGGGGAGAAGCCAGTACAACTGGGCAAGGCTGGAGGGGAGGGGCCGGTACACCTGTGCAAGACTGAAGGGGAGGAGCCGGTATACCTGTGCAAGACTGAAGGGGAGGAGCCGGTACACCTGTGCAATACTGAAGGAGAGGAGCCGGTACAACTGGGCAAGACTGAAGTGGAGGAGCCAATACAACTGGGCAAGACTGAATGGGAGGAGTCGGTACACCTGTGTAAGACTGAAGGGGAGGAGCTGGTACACCTGTGCAAGACTGAAGGGGAGGAGCCGGTACACCTGTGCAAGACTGAAGTGGGAGGAGCCAGTACACCTGTGCAAGACTGAATGGGAGGAGCCGGTACACCTGCACAAGACTGAAGGGGTAGGCCGGTATATCTGTGCAAGACTGAAGTGGGAGGAGCCGGTATACCTGTGCAAAACTGAAGGGGAGGAGCCGGTACACCTGTGCAAGACTGAAGGGGAGGAGCCGGTACACCTGTGCAAGACTGAAGGGGAGGAGCCAGTACACCTGTGCAAGACTGAAAGGGAGGATCCGGTACACCTGTGCAAGACTGAAGGGGAGGAGCCAGTACACCTGTGCAAGACTGAAGGGGAGGATCCGGTACACCTGTGCAAGACTGAAGGGGAGGAGCCGGTACACCTGTGCAAGGCTGAAGGGGAGGATCCGGTACACCTGTGCAAGACTGAAGGGGAGGAACTGGTACACCTGTGCAAGACTGAAAGGGAGGATCCGCTACACCTGTGCAAGACTGAAGTGGGAGGACCCGGTACACCTGTGCAAGACTGAAGTGGGAGGAGCCAGTACACCTGTGCAAGACTGAAGTGGGAGGAGCCAGTACACCTGTGCAAGACTGAAGTGGGAGGAGCCGGTACATCTGCACAAGACTGAAGTGGGAGGACGGTGTTCAGCTTTAAGAATGCTCTTCTATAGGAGCCCTAGAAAAATGTACTTTTGGCGTACTTTAGTGGAGGAAATCCTTTCTAACATATATCGCACTCTCATCCGGAATATGTGAGGAATCAATGGGCATCATTAGTTATTTAAATGGAAGAATGATTCTAAATGAAATCTTCGCCATCTGTCCCTGCTTGTAATTACAAATGCATGCATATTATTACTCACCGATGTACAATAACTGCAAGATAGATTGTCGCCATTGTGGGTATATGTTTGCGGTATAATAATAGCGAGGATGATTCGAGGGCTCTCATTATCAAGGGCGATATCTTCAGGGAAGGCACATGATATACTGCCAAGGTTGTTACTTTTGTATTTTATTTTTTATTTTAATAATGCATAGCGTGCAGCACTCGGCTAGACTCCTACCATGCATTATTACAGCGGGCAAGGCTCTCAGGTGTCGGCTCTTTGCAGAGAATAATGAAGAGAACAGAAGAGTCTTCTTCGGGTTTTAGGGCTGTTTTGCAAAGGATTTATTCACAGAACACTCGAACGGAATAATGCCAAACGCAAGGAGGGCTGAGGATGATGTGTGAGCATTCGATGTTATGATTTTATGACCAAGGCCCAGACGGATATGAATCAAGGGAAGAATACTGCTGATGAAGGCGCTTCACCGAAGAAGAATGGAGACAAGGTGCTCATCAGACCTTGGATGCCCTATTGGTAGTAAAAGCATATTGGCCGCCAATTCATATACTGGATGACAATGGTTGTAGACCCTTCCATATACTGTACCTGTAGCCAGGGGCGGACTGACAACTCATGGGGCCCCCGGGCAATAGGGGTTAATGGGGCCCCTGTGTCCTTGCCCAAACTCAAAAAAGCCTATGAGAAAGGTACCAGGGGCATCTCATGGGGCCCCCTACTGACCCCAGGCCCTCAATAGGCGATCATGGGGCCCCTGTGTCCTTGCCCAAACTCAAAAAAGCCTATGAAAAAGGTACCAGGGCATCTCATGGGGCCCCCTACTGACCCCGGGCCCTCAATAGGGGATCATGGGGCCCCTGTGTCCTTGCCCAAACTCAAAAAAGCCTATGAAAAAGGTACCAGGGGCATCTCATGGGGCCCCCTACTGACCCCGGGCCCTCAATAGGGGATCATGGGGCCCATGCGTCCTTGCCCAAACTCAAAGCCTATGAAAAAGGTACCAGGGGCATCTCATGGGAACCCCTACTGACCCCGGGCCCTCGGGCAGTGCCCGAGTTTCCAAATGGTCAGTCTGCCCCTGCCTGTAGCATTACCCCCTTAGGGAATGCTATTTGAATTTGGGTCCCCTATAGCTCTGGACAGCCAGTCATTCAGCATTTTCTGCACAAGCTTTCATCCGGAGACAGAAATCAGCCCTTGAGCATAGGATTTGTTATTTTATTGAGGGGATTAGAACCTGGATAGGATAAGGGGAGTGTAGGATGCCCAAGGGAACTGATATCTGAAGACAACTTTCTGAACTATTCAAAAGCTTCTCTTTTCTAACACACAGTCTCTGTTGGAGTGCTAGCCATCATCTGCTGTACCACTCCAGACCACCCTAGATGAACTCCTCTTCATCCAGCAATCTGGAGACTTTCTTCCTGAGTAGGGGATCTGGCTCCTGTTCCTTTAATTGAGGTGAACAGTCACTAGTAGGGGGATAATCTGGTTTCCCACCAGAGTGCTCCTTGCCCTATCTGTCCAGGGTGGTGCAGGTGTACTCACTCTGATCATCTCCTGTACCGTTTGCTGGTTGGCTGCTGTTACCAGGCCTATGAGCTGGGCTGCTCCTTCACTGCCATACAGGTGGTCCTCGCTCAGGGGGTCAGGGAGTCCCACGTCTTCCTCCTTTCCAGCTCCAGGCTTGCAGGCAGGCCTTCTTCCTCCAGCCTCACATCTTCCTTCAGCTCTCCACACACTCCCACCAAACACTCCTGCTACTGAGCAGGTGCCTCCACTTTTAAGGGAGTCCAGCCCCTTGCCAAAACTTCTGTTGGGGATTGGCTAAGAGTGCAGCCAGCAACTTCTCAGATTCACCCACTGCCTCCAAGGCCTTCCTTCGAAAGCCTCAGAGCAAGGGGAAATTACCGAGGGGCAGGCCTGCAGAGTCTCTCAGCCCTGACCACAATTTGACTCCTCTGGCTATAACATCCCCTCTGGCTATCAAACCATGAGGATCCAGCTCCCCCTAGCTGCCCTAAGAGAGTTTTTCATACCCAGTGAAGTGACTGGCCTCAAGTAATACACATAAATGAAACAAATCTTCCTGCATATGTTGTACCTGTTTATATGCAGCACTTTCTCCTCTACCGACATTCAAAGTTCAGAATTTACACATCGTTTCTGATCTTCAGAAGGCAGGGGATTGAATCTGATGTCACACATTGCAAAGTAAAGAGCAGGGAGCTGGGTGTAATCTGAGACCTGAGTGGAGGGAAAGAACACGCCCCCCCCACCCACCTCTAACACATAGGGAAACATGCACAACCGAGACTGTCAATTACCTTCTATGTGCTGAGGAAGGGGTGGGGGGGCATCCCTTGGGATTCTGTGCTGCCAGAATAACCTGTCAGAAGTAATTAATGCAGATAGAAGAGAAAGGAGAGATCAGACAGAAATCACACTAGGTGCTTTGGATTGAAGTTAGTACGCACCATGGATTTCCCATTCCTATAGTGGTGATAAGCCAGATGTACTGCATGTGGGTTCGGTTCGAGATGGGTTTGGTGAACATTGCTGAAGTTCTGGTGCCGATTTTGAACCCCACTAAATGGAAGCTGTTTAGCAACAAAATGTCAATCGTAAAAAAAAAATGATTCATTAAATATGCAACAGACCTGGGGGATGTCCTGGACCTGCCTGTGAACTGTAAATTGCTGGTGAATGACCGTTCCCGGACACTCGCTCCTGTTTGTTAACAAAGGGGTGGGGCTTTTCTTCATCTATAGAAGATGAGTTTCTGGTAGAAATGTAAATGGAGGTATCCTCCCCACACAAAAAAAAATGACATGGGATTCCCTCTGTGAATTTCAGGGGCAAAGCCATGCAAAAACAAACAAAAAACAAAAAGCAAGAAAAAAGTGTGAGAACCTCCCAAAAATACACACCAAAAAGTGAGAAGGATCTTTATTTATATAATATTGGCCATCCACTGTTTGTTCATATTCCACCTCCAAGTGCGCATTCCACCACCAAATATGCCAAAATCACTCTCCGGATTTTTTTTTTTTTTGCTTGCAAACAAATATAACCAGCAAAAGCACATGTGGGTATTAGAGCAGCTTATCTAGGATCAGCAACTCCCTCTCTGGAATCCTCATCACTGGTCATCCATCAACTATTCATATCCAGTCAATCCGAAGGAGGAAAGAAGATGTTGTGCCCAGCGTAGAACCGTAAAAAGCTTTATTCTTAAAACCAAATTCAAACAATTACAATTAGCGGTGTCAACCCCGGCAATAGTACAACACATTCTATAGTATTACCGAGCTGTAATAATGGATTATTATTGTTATTATTATTATTATTAGTGTTGTTGCTCTTGTTATTATTATTATCAATTATTGATTACATAGTAATAATAATAATACTAATAATAATATTAATAATAATAATAACTACTAAACATAATATTAATACTACCACTACGGCTACTAATATTATTATTACTACTCTGTAATCAATAATTGATGATGATAATAATAACAATAATAATAATAATATTAGCAGTCGTAGTGGTAGTATTAATATTATGTTTAGTAGTTATTATTATTATTATTATTTATTAGTGTTATTATTATTATTATGTAATTAATAATTGACAATAATAATAACAAGAGCAACAACACTAATAATAATAATAACTAAAAACATAATATATTAATATTACCACTACGGCTACTAATATTATTATTACTGCTCTGTAATCAATAATTGATAATAATAATAATAATAATAACTACTACACATAATATTAATACTACTACTACGATGACTACTAATATTATTATCGTTATTTGATTAATAATATCAATAATAATATTACACAGAGTAATATTAATACTACTATAATAATAATTATTATTATTATTATATAGTAGTGTAATATAGTAATTATGATTAAATAACAATAATTATATTAGTAGTCAGTAGTATTTATATTATTATAGTTATTATTATTATTATTATTATCAATTATTGATTACAGAGCAGTAATAATAATATTAGTAGCCGTAGTGGTAGTATTAATATTATGTTTAGTAGTTATTATTATTATTAGTGTTGTTGCTCTTGTTATTATTATTGTTGTTATTATTATTAATATTATAATAATAATAATATAAGTAGCCGTAAACATATTTTATTACTATAGTATTATTTTTTAATATTTTATGTTTAGTAGTTATATTAAAATATTATTATTAGTTTATTTAGTTTTATTATTTATAATTGTAATCAATAATTACAATAATAATAACAAGAGCAACAACTTTTTAATAATAATAATAATAAAAAAAATATATAATATTAAAATAAAAAAACAATAATAATAATAATAATAATAAAATAACTACTAAAATAATATTAATACTACCACTACGGCTAAATGAATATTTTTATTACTACTCTGTAATCAATAATTGATGATGATAATAAAATAATAATATTAGCAGTCATAGTAGTAGTATTAATATTTATGTTATAAAAAAAAAATTTTTAGTTATTATTATTATTATTATCATCATCAATTATTGATTACAGAGTAGTAATAATAATATTAGTAGCCGTAGTGGTAAAAATTAATATTATGTTTAGT